TGTGACAGTCAGTGCCCTCTCCAGAATTTTACAGATGACTTTTTTTTCCTTTTCAGTGGGCCTTTGGCTCTAACTTTCCCAAGAAGAAAACAAATGTCTCTAGCAGGGAAATGTGTACAGAGTACTTTCTAACCTGGATGGACAAACCAAGACACTGACAGCAATCCTATTTATTTAGAAGAATTGATCAATATATGTGCTCAGGATCCAAAACCATGAACTGATGAACCAACACAATCCTCTCACCCCCATTAAATACTTCTCTCTGTATTGTGATACCATCTGCTGTACAGCTCCCTTTCTCCAGAAACTCGGATGATTTGGTAGTGCTTGTTAACACCCATAATGTGTTTGTAGATAGAACAGATGTTATTATTGCCCTTTCTTTGTATTTAAGGCTACTGAGATACAGAAAATTCACATCACAAGTTAGGATTACTCAGGGAGTGAACCATAGACAAGCTGGTCCGTTGCCAATTACTGCATCCAACATATATAAAATTAATCCTTAGAGTTCAATGCAACATACTATCCTTCCTTGTCTTTAGTTACATTACTATTTTCAGCCCAAAGACATATTTTTGTACTTTTTGGCTACCTGAGAAATCTGTTTCGTTGTAAGCAAAAGGGCCACTGTTAGAGCCCATATTGTCTTTGGCCACTCTTCAGATCCTGTGCTGGCTCCTTTTCACATTTCAAATCCTCTGCTTTTTTTAAACAGACGATTTACTAAATAACAACTTACATTTATTATTGAATAAGATGTAATACTATACGTACTTTTGTTGTCATATGTGAAAAAGGGAAAAAAGGTCAATAGAAATACTGATTCTCTGTGTGTGTCGTGTGTGTGTGTGTGTGTGTGTGTGTGTGTGTGTTTCAGGACTTCAGAGAAAGAGATTTGCAAAGTTTCTAAACCTCTTCAACGGTTGCAGCTTTCCCACTCTGCCCCTGGCATCTTCCAGCTTTAATGTGCTCTTTGCAAATCATCATTTTTTGATGATCAAGAATCCCTACAGAATTGGTATAGAGCAGTGCGTAGCAAACCAGAATGAACTAGAAAACATCCAAACGATGGACACACATCTAAGAAAACAAATGCATGGATCACTGGGAGACTAGCAGCCTGAGATGCACCTTGCAACCCAGGCTTTCTATCCAAGATTTTGCCTATTATCCCAAAGGAAGCTCAGGAGTGACTATTCACCGAGCACTCACTAGCTGTGTGATCTTGAACAAGCTGCTTAACATCTCTGAGTTTCCACTCTCTCATCTGTAAAATGGAGAAAATTATACCTTGCAATACTCTAAGGAATGAAGCACTATAAAAATGGAATAGAATGGCATAGAATACAGCACATAGCAGTGCCTGGTCTACTATACACATTTTTAAATGAGAGCTACAATAATAATGGTAAGGAGTATTATGTTTATTAGCTATCCAAGGAAGAAAGCTCATTCTGCTGTGAAAAACTGTTTATAAATACCTAAACCTTTTTCAAGCTCTCACTTATTTCTCTTATATTTTTCTTTTTTTTTTTCCTTTTTGTCTTTTTTACTGACCAGTAACGGGATCGCAACCCTCGGTGTCGCGCCCGTACCGGGGACCGGCAACGGGATTGCAACCCTCAGCGCTGCGCCCGCACCGCGCTCAGCCAGTGAGCAGGAACCGGTCTCCACATGGGATCCGAACCCTCGGCGGGAGCACCGCCGCACTCCCAAGCGGCGCACTCTCCAGTGCGCCACCGGGCCGGCCCTCTCTTATATTTTTTTCTTTTTTTTTTTTTTTAGTTCTTCCTAAATCTCACAGGTACCTCTGTTTATGTAGTCCCTTCCTCCAGAAAACCACACAGAGAGATATCAGATAAAACAAATTCTCACTTACTCTTCTGTGGCATAGGACTATGGGAGAAAGAAATCCTTAATATGGAAGAATGAATTGCTATTGAAATAAGTGGACAGGATTTGGGGGAGATAAAATCCTCTTTCACAACCTTTGCACAGGTGGTGTATTAGTCCATTTCTGTTGCTTATAACAAAATACACAGAACTGGGTGATTTATAAGAAAATGAAATTTATTGCTTACAGTTTCTGAGGCTAGGAAGTCCAAAGTCCATCTGGTGGTGGTGACAGCCACCCAGGGGTCTCACATTGCAACATGGTGGAACAGAGAGAGCAGATGGAAAGAGCTTCTCATTCACTCTCTTTTTACAGCCCTCAGAACCATGTCCCTGACCACCAATTAATCCATCCCCTAAGGTGCAATCCTACAATCTAATCACCTCTTCAAGGCTCCACCTTTCAATTACCAAATAGGATTTCCCACCCTCTTAACAGTCACGGTGGGGACCAACTTTCTAATACAAAAAACTTGGGGAATACAATTCAAGCTTCAATGAATTTGAGGAGGACATAATTCGATCCACCACAGATGGGTAAGCAGCTACTCAGCTCAGGATGGTTTCTGAGTACCACTCAGCATCTGATTCCTGCCTATCTCGATAGTCCCACCTCTCACCACTCCTACCCTCCTCCCCATCACCCTGTCTTCTTCCTTTACTCAACTATTTCTGGTCCTGGTACACGCCATGCTCACCCTCATTTTATGCCTTTGCATATGCTGTTTCCCTTACCTAGAATGCCTGATCCCCATCCAGATAATCCCTAGTTGTAGATTCAGCTTAGCTCACCTGTTCTGAACTTTCCATGGCATCTGGGAGAGGGCGGAAGAGTAGGATTCACATTGCAGCTTGTGTGAATGGTGCCCTCTGGAGCTGTGCTGTGCACAATCTACAGGGCTGTACCTGGTACTCCCATACTCTCTCTGCCACCCCACACCCTATGTACTCCAAAAGCCTCGTAATGAAAATTTTTATCCCATTGTGATAATCATTTATTTGAAATCTTTTCTCCTAGACTAGGAGTTCCTTAAAGCAGGAATATGGATTCTATTTCTGTTTTTCCAACATTTCACACACAACAGGCACTCAACGAATATTCAATTAATTGGTTGATTGATGGATAAGTGAATAAACAAATGAATGAATAAATTTAAGAGCTGAATGAAAGCTTAACTATAAAGGTAGAGGATAAAAACTTGTTAAATTAACTCTGCAAGGACAGCAAAGGAACAATAAAAAGGAGATCAAAATATAAAGTGGAGAAATCCTCCATTAATAGTGTGATTACTGGCTCCCAAAGATTGCCTGGCAGGAGCCACTGCCAGGTGAGGCTGTTTGGGAGGCCCTGACATCTTGCTGATAGGTGGCTCACAATTTAGTAGGAAAATATGCAAAGTGTCAAGGGCAATGGAATGATAAAGGTAGGCTTATACCAATCAGATACATAGGCTAGAACAACAGTAGAGAAAGTTTGGTTTCTAGTACCATGTTGAGACTCGCTAACAATCCTTTGAAATTGAAATGGTGTCAACGTGTGTATTTCCCAAGGTGAGAAGCCCTTTTCTCTATTACTGGTTTCTCTCACTTCCTTTTGCTTATTGTTTAAAGCTTCAGAGCTTGTTGCATACAACATCCTTCTTTTTATCAGCTGTGGTGCACCTTAGAGCACAAATTTCCTCCAGAAGGCCAAGGATCTAGGACCCTATATTTAGAGAGTACTTATTATGGGTTGAATGAGGGCCTGAGTATGCCTGGAATCATGCTTCTCAAAGCCATTCTAATATTCATTCAGTTAAAACCATAACCACACTGAGTTATTGCTAGTCTCATTTGGATCATATATTCACAGCTCATGGCTTAAACAAGAGGATGTATATTGCCTTTGCTGTTGCCCATCATGTCCTTTCATTTCATTATGACTATTGTGCTTAGAAACATGATTTTCAATCTATAATCCCAGTTAAATTCTTTCAACACAGTCTGTACAGTTAAGCACATAGTTTTCTTTGAAGCAGACTTTGTTAAGATCTATTACCTACTATCTCACCTTCCAGGACTACCATATTCTGCTTTAACTAGGAAGGATGAAACAATTTTTATGTGAATGGACTTTGTAACCTGGCATATAGTTTTAACTGAAATAAAGTTAAAAGCTCTAGAGAGCATTAGAAGTTCTAGAAAGGATTGGCATTCCACAGCACAACTTCTTAATTTGAACACCAATTAAAGTTTTGTCAGATTGTCACTGGGTTTGTGGCCCCCAAGCTCAATTATACTCATGATCTGTTTATAGGCAAATGTAACTAAGTAAAAAAAATTAAAGGGGGCCAGTAAAATTTCATCAAGGGAACAAATGGGTGAATTTTTGAAAACCACAAAAAGCAAACACCATTTAGATCTACTCCAAAATGAATGCTTCCAGTTGTCTGAAGGGACAGTTGAGTGACTGTTTTCATGCATGAGGGGTAAGGATATTCTCCATATGGAGCCTCAGAAAACTGAAAATTGGGAGCTAAGAGTTCTGAGAGCCAAAGTAAGGAGAAAGGGAGGAACAGCTGAGAATTACTTCTAAAGTCTGAGCCAAGAAACATGCAGTATTAGCAGGGATTTTCCAGTGGTGATGGACACATTTTCAAATATAGAGTTAGAGAAAGCAAAGACTTGTTGGGAACTGATTCCTTCATCAGAATCAAGCAAACAAAAGCTCAGACTTGGAAAAATGGAGAAGAGATATGAAGAAATGTATGAGACTTTCTTGCCTGAAAGAAGACTTTAGAGCCAGAAAGTATTTAACTGCAAAGAAGGCCTCTTGTAAAGAGAAAGAAACTCTTTCAAAATCACAAATGTTCAGTTGGCTTCATATTCATGTAAAGTTTATAATCTATATATTTGTAATTGGGAACGAATATACATAAATATCTTTTACAAGGGGAGAAGAAAAGGAGAGCTATGTCAGGAAGCTTTCAGGACTGGTGGAAATGAATGATCATGTTTATTTTAGCCATCATAGGTAATTCTTATACCCTTGTTATGTTTATTTGAGGATGTAAAATGACTACATATATCTGAATGACAACTGTACTTTATTGATTTTGCAGAGTTAAGAGGAAGATTTATGAGGCGTGGAGCCCTTCGTCTGGTTTGAAAGAAAGTAGAGTGAACGTAGAGATGCCAGACTGCCACTGAGGCCCATGGACAATCCCACACTCACGCTTCTCAGTCGAACTTTAAGATCGATTAATAATATGCTGCCTTTGGAAGAGGAAAAGAAACTAGTGCCAAGAAGGCATATTCTTCAATATTCGGCATAGGCACACTTTCGAGACAATGGCGTCAAAGGTCTCCTGTTTGTACGTGTTGACAGTCGTGTGCTGGGCCAGCGCTCTCTGGTACTTGAGTATAACTCGTCCCACTTCCTCCTACACAGGCTCCAAGCCCTTCAGCCACCTAACAGTTGCCAGGAAAAACCTCACCTTTGGCAACATAAGAACTCGACCTATAAACCCACATTCTTTTGAATTTATAATAAATGAGCCCAACAAATGTGAGAAGAACATTCCTTTTCTTGTTATCCTCATCAGCACCACCCACAAGGAATTCGATGCCCGCCAGGCAATCCGCGAGACGTGGGGGGACGAGAACAACTTTAAAGGGATCAGGATCGCCACAGTCTTCCTCCTGGGCAAGAACGCTGATCCTGTCCTGAACCAGATGGTGGAGCAAGAGAGCCAAATCTTCCACGACATCATCGTGGAGGACTTCATTGACTCCTACCATAACCTCACCCTCAAAACATTGATGGGGATGAGATGGGTGGCCACGTTTTGTTCAAAAGCCAAGTATGTCATGAAAACAGACAGTGATATTTTTGTAAATATGGACAACCTTATTTATAAACTACTGAAACCCTCCACCAAGCCAAGAAGAAGGTATTTTACTGGCTATGTCATCAACGGAGGGCCCATCCGGGATGTCCGCAGTAAGTGGTACATGCCCAGGGACTTGTACCCTGACAGTAACTACCCACCTTTCTGTTCGGGGACCGGCTATATCTTTTCAGCCGATGTGGCAGAACTCATTTACAAGACCTCACTCCACACAAGATTGCTTCATCTCGAAGATGTATATGTGGGACTGTGTCTTCGAAAGCTGGGCATACACCCTTTCCAGAACAGTGGCTTCAATCACTGGAAAATGGCCTATAGTTTGTGTAGGTACCGCCGAGTTATCACCGTGCATCAGATCTCTCCAGAAGAAATGCACAGAATCTGGAATGACATGTCAAGCAAGAAACATCTCAGATGTTAGGATTTTTACCCATGTAAATACATTTATTTTCTTTTTTAAGAAATGGGGCCTAAGTTATTGGTATTTTACAGGTGTCACCAGGGGAAATGAACTGGTGAAGGGGTTTTATAAAGTTTTTGCTTCCTGCTCCTAGTTCCTTTCTTGGATTACCGATTTACAAATGTTAGGCTCTGGCCATAGATATAATAAATGATTTAGAAGGATGAGATTTAATTCTCAGGTCCTAAGGAATTGCCATTTATCTCAAAAAGCGACTTCCAAACAACTTCTAGGATTTACATTCTGTGCATCTGAGATAAAAATCTGGTTCTGTGAAACTGAAACTCACAGTAATGTCTTCATATCATCTCTGTGAAAATAAATAAGTAAATAACTCTTTTTCAAAAACGATTTGGAAATGATGCACAGTCAAGAAGACACACTGGATGCGATTAGTAATATTGTATGTGTTATTGTTACATTGAATTTTTACATATATTGCCATGTATGTGTACAATGTGTGTAGTTCAGCCAAAAAATGAACTTAGTCCTGGCAGGAAGGCTGCAGTTAAATAGATGGGAATTTAAACTTGAGAATCAAATACTCTGTATGTTTGGAAGACAACTCTGCTTGTTCATCCAAGGATTAAACCTGGTCAGCAGGTGGAATGTATATAAAATGCTACTTAAAGTAAGCAAGCATTTTTTTTTCTTTTTTTGCTCTTTCATAACAAACATTACATGGTGCCTCCAAGGAGACTTTGCCAAATGTAATCTCACCTGCTTTCTTCCTTACAATGTCATTAAGTGCATTTCGCAGTTTCTGGATCTGGCAGACAAATGTCTCCATGTGAAGAAAATAAGTTGGTAGGAGGCCAGAGAACGATAAACCACCTAGAGAAAACACAAATTTAAGTATGCATTATAATTAACACAAGCTTAGCAGTGCTGTAAGATGCCCCTCCCACACATTTGCAAAGCACATGAGAAAATCTTCGAGTACCAATATTATTGAAAATGTTGGCCCTACTGTTTACAAATGCCATACTCTCTAACATCTCAAACATTTGAGTACCATTAGCAGCAATGCTATTATGAGGGCTTCTGGGGGCTCTGTGACTGAGGTTCATGGGAAGGAAGGGTGGGGAAGCCCAGGTTCAGGTCCTGTTGATGCCCACACTTCTGGGCCATGTGAGCAGGCATCTTAACCTTACTGTGCTTCAATATGCTCATTTATCAAATGGCTGTAAAAAACACCTACCTCACAGGTACTGTGAGAGCAAATCACATTTGCTAAGTATTTTGAGATCCTTAGCTTAAAAGGTGCTATGTAATGCAATGTGTCATGCATTATGCTAAATGCTAAAATAATTACATAATTACAATGATGACCAGTAGTAGTAACATCATGTCAGTTGAAAATCTGCCAAAATAAAGATCAGCTGTGGACTATCCGTGCACCTAATTCTCCCAAGTCTTTGACTTTTCCTTGGCTACAAGTTAGGTCTTTGGGGAAGTTTCAGTTTCTCTGCTCTTTCTTCTGGTTTCAGTGAATGAGTTATTACTTCAGTGCGTTGCCACGGTACTGAACGTGAAGGCAGCTGCTTTTCTTTGGAAAGGCACTTCTGGCTGGGGGTATGTTACAGTAAGTGAAGCATATGCTTTGCAAAGTGCATCACAGCAACTTAGCTCTCAGGAAACATTTGATCGGAACTCTAAGAACTTTGAGGACAGATAGAGCTAGTCCATCCACCTCTATCAAAAGAAGAATAGGCACTCAGCAAGCCCACACGTTATACTTCTTCTACCATTTGTTAGAAAACTCCTGTTTCTTCTCATTCAAAGAAAGCCCCGCAGCTGAAAGAGTACACCTTTTTATTTAATTAATTAGTTAATTTTTTTTAACCTGACCTTTGGGAGCCTCTAGACAAGTTGATAGCAAACAGGGAAAGAAAATCAGCAGATGGAAGTCATGGCCTATTTCTTTAAAACACCAGATCTCTCATCCCCATCTCCAAAGAACCCAATATGAGACAGGACTTCTAGTGTGGTCTGCAGGACTTTGATTAGAGAATGAGCACAAGGGGAGCCACCCTTCAACTGTAGCCTCAATGTCTGTGAGCTCACTCACTGGGACAGTCTCATGACTTCATACTTGGTTCGCCTTCCACTCATGCAGCCGAACCAAGCCTCTGTCTCCTACCACTGCTTAGTCAGGTCACCTTTGGCGTCACAGAATTGCACAATAGGAACATGATATGTGTATACCTATGAATTGTTTTCTATGTGTGCATATACATCATGAATAGAGCCCAAATATTTAAAAGGAGCAAAAATCAGAGAATCATGTCTTAAAGAATTATTTCCTAACTTTTCCATGCTAGGGAGTACCCATGTGACAAACATGTAAATATTCATCAAAGACCACATGTATATATTTTAAAGGCATTTTTTTCCTTTTCTCCAGTTGTACATATAGCTAGAATCTGCTTGCTGTATAACATTTTCTTCTGCATGGAGCTTGGTGACGCAAGGCCATTTGTCCAGTGTTTCAATAGCCTTAAGCATGTTTGCCCTTTGTTTTTTGAATGTTCAAAAAAATATTTAAGTAATCAAGAAAAAGCTCTAACTTTCTACCTTTGTTAATTTTACAACATGACACTGACCCAATTATTGTTTCAATTATTTTTTAAGCCATTCTTATTATTTCCCTGACAAAAAATAATGTTTCAGACAGTATTCCACTAGGAGTCATTCACGCGATTTTTACAAAAACTCTCTATTTGTTCATTATGCACTGGGTAACAATAATCAGTGTCTATATTCTTAAAGTTTCTTTTTTAAATTTATTTTCTGGAAAGAAAGTTTTATCTTTGGTGGCTAGTTTGCGTGGCTTTGTGTCTTCTTATATTGGAACAAATGTCAGTTTCGATATATGATATTGTACTTTTAATAACTGGAATCAAAAAATGAAGATCATTTTCAATACAGATTAAATTCAGAAGAACAAAACCCCTTTCTGTGATACCATATGGGGAAAATAAACTCTTTACAGAGAAGCCAAGGAAGGAGTTTTTCAATCAAATCTCTTCTATCAAAAGACAATGAAATATTTACCTAGCGCGTGTGGGATTCATTTTCTATCTTTCCTAATATGTGGGTTTAGTGGGGGAATTGATTATGTCATTTCTTCTGTAAGGTGAAGATAGTTTTTATAAGCAACAAAGTAACTTGTGAATGAAAGAAGTAATTTACTAGAAATGCTTGTTGATGATAATTGACATTTAGGTATATCGTTATATATGAATGATTGTATTTATGTATTTATTTGTCAAAATTGTACATACTGTTTCACCAAAAGTAATTGTCTGTAAAAGTGCACTCTCCAGGTTTGTAGTATTATCTAGGGTTACATGGGTTGCCAATCAAGCTGCTAATCAGAATACTATTTTTTGTATCAATGTTATAAAACTAAAAATGACAAATAGATGCTGAAGATGTCATTACATTCAGTTTCTTCACCTTCCTCTTGAAATGTAAACATTTGATTGAATGCACCATGCCAATGTACAGGCCCATCTGTCTTGAGGAAGATTATGGTTCCATAAAGCTGATTTTTTTAAATCATTGAGGCAAATAAACAGAAGGAGAACATATTTTCCACTTTGCTTCTTTTTTGAAAGAATCTCTTTAGTAACATATGATTGTTTCAACTACCGAATGTCATGCCATTTATCATTAACCTTCTCCACAACCTCACTATAAGTAATAGTTCAAACCATTCAGAGCTCATCCCCAAGAGCCCAGTGCAAATTACCAGTCATCTGGAGACTATTTGATCTAGACCATGGGCCACTCCTGGATTTAGGAAGCAGGTATCTCACTTGCCCCTTGTTGGCCTCAGGGAAGTGTTTTAACTAGCCTCTGTGTTAAAATCTTAGGTTGAACATGCTAACAAATTTCAACCCAGGGGGACATTATATAGATAATGTACTTGGTGAACTAGGATGTGTTAAATCTAAGGCAAAAATGTCATTTTTATGTTTCACCCACATATATCCTTTGGAATATTGCATACTATCTTAAAAGCTTAATTGGCCTGGAAAAGAACTATTCAGACATTCTTTACAGCAGACAAGTAGATGCTGATTGCTGTTCCTCAATTCTGTAAGCAAGAGACTAAGAGCTATTTAAGAGACAAAGTTTCCTGTTATTATCAATCCTGATCTAAATAGGTCTTCACTGTTTAATGGAAATTTAACTTTGGATTTATTCCCCTTGTACTTCAGAGCTCAAAAAGGTAAAGTCTATCAGGTAAGCTGAACTACGTGAATAAACAATAAAAACATAAAATATACAGATCCATATTCTATGTGACTTTTTAGAAGGACCAACATCAAGAGCAGTGTTCTAAAAGTATGGACTCCAGAACAGGAGCTTCAGACTCATCCAGGAACTTGCTAGAAATGCAAGTTCTTGGGCCTTCAGAAACTTGAAGGTGTGGCTTGGCCATCTACTTCAACAAACCCGCTAGTGATTCTGATGCACGCTGTAGTGAACACTGACCCAGAGCAGGGACAGGTCAACTACAGTCTGTGAACTACTTCCAGCCCACAAGCTAAGAATGGTTCCCCGGTTTGCCAGTGGACACCTACAATGGCTTGACAGTAGTGTTGGAACGAACAGGACCAAAACTTCACAGGCCATAGGCAAATTTTAAAAAGCACAGTATTTTTCTGGGCATGCATTTCTAGGAGTTCCCTCTTTTCCCATGGTTATTTGATATTTTGACCCTTGGTTATGGGGAAAGATGACATTATTTACATAAATATAAAGTTGTTTTCCAAACAGCCTGAAGCAGCAGAATGGCATGTACTATCCAGACCTTGAGATAACAGCAAAGATGGGAGCAGAAACCAGACAGAGTCTTGGCGAGACGGCACCTGAGACCTTGCATGAAGCCCTCATTGCTCACATTACGCCTCCCTCCTGCTTTTCATTTTCCATGTTCCATTCCCTCAGCCCGCTCTTAAAAAGCCCTCAGGAAACCTGAGTCTTTGAGGTGGCTTTAGCCTGGCCATTCTCTTTCAGGTTTACTGGAGAGATGGGTTAGCCCAACATCTCTCCTCAGATCACTGGTATTACTGAATAAAAACTGACTTCCATTTTCACCACCCTTAAGGGGGCAGACAGCTGGACCCATGTGTGCCCAGTTATGGTAGGGAAACGCTAACATTGAATTCCGACTAAGAGAAATGTTATCCCAATACTAAGAATGCCATTAGTAGAAGTGCGTTGCCAAAAAAAAAAAAAATACCATATTCAATTATTTTATTACATTTTTAATTCCATCAATACAAAAATCGTCGAAATTTGTTTTCTCTCGTTATATAAGTACTTTCATGTATCTTCATTTTTGCCTCTTGGCCTGCAAAGCTTGAAATGTTATCTGGCCCTTTATGGAAAGTTTGCCAACCTCTGACCTATAGAAACAGGGAAACATCTGAAAAATGTGCTATTCACAAAATTTCTCCAGTAATGAATGAGGAATCAGCACAGCACACTGGAATTTTGTCTCCATGCAGTGGGGGAAATGGCTATGTAGTCATGATAATGAATTGCATTAAAAACTGACAGCTGCATATATTTTTAAAATATTTCCTTTTTCCTACCTCATAGTGATTTTTAAAAATTATAAAAGCTTGATTCTAATTGTAACAATTACCCACAGCTTAATTAATATATTGCTTAAAGATGCGTGGGTATTAGCCCTAAGAGGGTGGGTTTCATGTAGCTTGATTATCATAATTATACGCATTCTATTTTCTCATTTTCTTAATTGATTGTCATAGATTTCCAGATGAATTCACACCACTAGAAGAGAATTGAATATATTTCTAAGACGAAAAAAAAAAAAAACAGAAACAGGGCTATTTGGAAGAGCGATGTGTCCCAGAATATAATCCATGTGAGCATGAAAAATTGCCCTCGATAATATCTCCTTACCTCTTTGCTGGTTAAAATAGGCATTTTTGTGAAATGAAAAAGAAATGAGTGAAAAAGTATTATTGATTCAACTGCATGTATAATAACACTGACTCCTCTGTCTCTTCGGCCAGAGCTGCCTAGCGCTCGAGAAAAATTTTCCATTTAGTTTTCCTTATAGAATCTATTACTTTGGTACATTATGTTGACTATTTGTTATGCCTCTTGCAATGACCTCCATCCTCACCTGGAGGGGGCATGGCATAAGAGGTGATTTATTCTCTCTCTGAGGTTTATTCCACAGCGTTTACTCAGCAGTGGCTGCCTGATATGCCAGGCTGGGCCGAGCTACGTGTACAGGTTTGTGATGAAGACTATTTTTCACCACAAGCGAGGATGACCTCACCAAGCATAAGGTGAGGAAAAAGAAACCATCAGAGAATTTCTCCCACTGCAAAACCTTAAAGTTTCACTGTCCACTCCTCTGTTTTGTTGTTGCTGTTTACTAACAACAGCCTCATGATGAAGATGCTGCTATCACCAGTTGACAGATTAGGAAACTGAGGCAACAGAGAATTTTGTGCCTTACAGGGTGGATTCAGGCCCTCTGGCTCTGGATGCTGTGTTCTTAACCAATACAGCACGTTGCCTCTCTCAAATAAGGACATATATTCCCACCACCACTATACCACTCCTGCCCCCAGTTCCTGTGGAACTCGGAGTAGCTATTTTATTTTGTTTTTCAGATTGGAGCTTTTACCCCCTTTTTATTGTTATGATTTATATACTTCAAAATTCAGCATTTTTTAGTGTACAGTTCTATGATTTTTGACAAATTCATACATTCGGGTAACCACCACCATAATCAAGATATAGAACAATTCTATCACTTCCCAAAATTTTATCATGCCCCCTTGTAACCAACCCCTCCCCCAGCCTCTAGCAATCACTGATCTCTTTCCAAACTTCTATTTCATGTGAGATTTTCATGTTATTCAGCAGTCAATACAGATAATGTTTAATCTCTATTGATAATACAGATATATATTACAGATAATGTTTATAGGTAATGTTTAATGGTTCTTTGGATAAAC